TAAAGGCAATTACTAAAAATCGGCTCGGCTCGGCTCGACCGGCGCCATACACGATTTGCGAACGATTTTTCGGGTATCCTTACCCCACTGCGGCAAAGGACGCTGAATGCCGAGATGGGGGTGGGGCGAGAGGGGTTGTGTGCGGGTCTCGAGCGCGAGGATTTGAAGCAGGGGGAATATTGCTGCCGATAGGTGTTATTAGCAAAATGCAATAAGTAAGCTACCTCCAAGACCTCCTCTCCCTTCTCACATAAGAAGTAGAAAACAGACAGAAAATTTCAAATAACGATAAGCTGACCGAGGTAGCGGAATTTCTAAGCACTGTTGGTCGCAGATGGAATCATCGATGAAAGCGATTCATTCAATTCATCGTTCCACAGCTCGGCAACCAGCTCACGTTTGATCTCATCTTCATAATTCTCAATCATATCCTGCCAACTTTTGCCCTGCTCCTCATACAACTCTTCCAGAACCAGATTCTCAATATCGCTGTTACGCTCACGCGAAACTCTCTCCCAACGTTTCTTTTCTTTTCCATTTAATTGCTTAGCTGAAATAAAACAAAATTTTAGCTTTTCCCTTTCTTCCCTTTCTTTCCTTCTTTTCCTTTTTCATTAAAGCACTGCTACCGTCATACTGACGAGGCGCTGTCGCGGTGTTTAGTTAAGACGTATATGATTTAATGGACCGAAACAATGTCTTATCTCACTCTTACCTTCTCTCATACTGTCCTTTTTTTATGTATTTTATCACCCCTTCGCCACTTAGGCTTTCTGGGCCAACTTAGTTGCTACAATTGGCTTACCAATAAACGAATTTTTACTGACCAGTTTAAAGACAACAGCCATAACGAAGGTTTGTTCAGTCAAAAGTCAAAATCTCTCCACATCTTCTCTCAAAAAAAAGCAGAATCCGAAAATACCCCCATATTAGCATATACCAACCATCTAATGCTTCGACCATGCCCTTTTTCGAGAGTCCCTTAGAAGTAAGCTGATGGTAATTGGAAACTTTGTTCACCTGCGCAATATTTAGCTGTCTCCTTTTGAAGAATACGCTCCAGCTGCGAAGAACTCTGTGGCTGGAATAAGCTGCTATCTGCAAATCCTAATCGGCGACTACGACCAGCTTCCCGGAAGCACTGTTGCGCAATTTCGCAGCATCTATCTGCCAACATTTGCCTAAAGTTGACATGTTTTTTGAAGACTGATTAAATAAAGGTAAAATACTGTGGCAATAATTAAAATCTCTGGCGACGCGCACCAGCGGAGTCCGTGCAGTCATGCGTTTTTGCAAAACTTCGTGCTGTAGTACGATCGCTTGGAATCCTAGTAGCTAGAATTTGTGACATACGGGTCCTCGAAGTTCAGGAAGTTAAATGTGCAACTACGTGCTGCTTGGGAAATTCCCTTAAAATTTTTGCTTTCCTGTTTCTCTGGTTTCCGAGTTAGCAACTTTTCCTCCAAAAATTTTGACGGACCCGTACGGGAGAGCCACGCATAGCTGGGAGCTGAATTTTAAATCTTTAAGTTTCTCTCCATAATTTTCAACAAAAAACACAAAACTAAAGCTTTGCCAAAGTGTTTCTATCGGAGGAGCCACTGAGCCGGCAATTTCTTCAGAAAATTATCAGTTTCAAGGTTACCAGAAAGCTGACCATCAGGTGACGCAGCACTGGTCAAAAGAACCGAAAAATAAAGAAAATATTACGATTCTTGCTTACAATACTGGAACCGGTGATGAACTAGCAGTCGTTTCAAAAAGTATAAGGTAAGTATTTAAAGTCTCGCACTAGAAGAAGTTACCTCCTTCTTCCCCTTTGTCTCCCCCC